GGGGGGGGGTCAATTTAAGTACTGTACTGTAATGCTCTCGCGTGTGGTCACAGAGAGCCATGACCACAATCCCTTTTTTTCTTTTTTACTCGAAAGAGACAAAATGAGCACTGTAAAATCCCACGACAAAGCATAAAACATACATACCATAATACTCCCCGGTAAGGGAGTGCCATTCTCCGCAGGACGGCTGACAACAGGAGGCTCAGCCCGAGACGCACGAGACACCTCGGCAACCAGTATGATGCCAGACGTCGCAGGTACCGGAGAGAAGGGTGATAGCTGGACCTCTTCTCGTTTGGTAAAACTGGGAAGTGAAGCCAGAAAGCATCACAATATTATCATCATCTAATTTTTTACCACATTTTGAGAGATAACGCACAGCTTGCAGAATGTAGCGTTTCTTCATTTAAAGGATGAATTCAATGAAAGTTAGTTTTGGGAAATTACTCACAGACAACTCACCTAAACTTTTTATACATACGTGTGACAAAATGTCTTCCACAAACCTAATGGGGGAGGTTTGCTTCCCAGTCTCAGCTCAGCCCTGAGATTCAAACCCAAACCCTCAGAACTGTTTTACAGACATGTTCACCACTACTGTTCTCCGTATAATTAGACTGTAATTTAAAACACGTATTTAAATCATTACGTTTAAGTAACTGAAAGTTAATGAACAGATCTTTAGTGCTTGAAATTGACTTTCTGGCATGAAATTCAGGACTGTCATTTTCGATGAGAGAACACTGCACTCTTCTGTTCGCCAACTTATACTACACGACAAAACGAACAGCAATTCCTTCAATGCATTTTTTTCATAATACCTGCACAATACAAAAGAAGTTATATGCCATGATATAATAGGAAGCTATTATATTCATATGGAACAATGGCGCTTGGGTTTTCAATTCGAAGTGAGTTTTCAAGCGGTCACGTGGCGGCGCATGATTCGACTCAATGTTTTAAGGCTGGCTTCAGGGCTTAAATTTCATTCACTGCGAGCCGAAAAGACGACACGTAAGCAACCGCCACTGAAGAAGAAGAGGTATAGTTTAGTATTTTCATCACTATTAACATGGAATGCTTTCGCCCAATTTGTTTGTCTCACACACATACTGACTCATACGTGTTGCATTTTGACTCTGTAAACCCCAAGTCTTGTCGTCCTTTTTGACATAGCGTCGCTTGGGGTGGGGGTCGTTTCCATTTTTGACAGAGCATTTGATGCCATTTAGTCGGATACTTTCATTTTAAACACAAAAATGAAGAGGTCGACTTCGAAAGCGAGTACCTGCTCGTGACGTCACCTAACCGCGTCCACTGATTTACAAAATGCGCCTGGTTAGTGCGTCATTTCATGGGCTGGCAATTGTGGACAATCTGCAGATACACATAAATTAAAAAAAAAACATGAAGATACACGGAAATGGTGACTTTAAACGTCAAACAATCATTACTTATGGACGTATGTATTTATTTATCAAACAATTCAAATTACAAAACAAACGAACTTATTAACCTAGAAAATCTAGGAAATTCAAATATTGGAATGCTATAGATCTTAAAATACGCCAGAAAGGTTACAACCCATACCTGCATGCCACGAGGGTTAAAAAACAACAGTTACTTCTGCATAAATTCATCTATGAAAATATAATTTTGCCAAACTGAGATTTATGACAAAAATTGCGCATGGGCACACCCTATCATATTCAATAATTATTACATTTCAAAATATATAAGTTGGTTGGGTAAAATAAATGTATCTTCCATTTTTATGAGAAATCTCTTTAATTTTCGTATTAATTCAAATGTCGTACGACTCTCCTCGCGGTGGACGGTCACATGACGTCACGACGTCCAAGTGCCGAGAAGGCGGAAGACGGTCCAACCCACCGCCAAGTGGCCCACCAGCTAGCTTGCCAGCCATCATGGCCTTCCGCGACATATCGAAAGAAGCACTCATTGGGACGGTCACGCTCGGAGTTGTTTTTATCACGGGATATTTGTTCGGTAGGACAGCGCTTTTCTTGTATATGCTTGAGTAAGCCGAAATCAACAATTACGTTTGCTACCGCAACTAGCGATCGTGGGATTTGTGTCTGTTTAATATTCATTTATATACGTTTGTATCGTAAAATCGTAAAAAGTAGCCGAGTACAGCATTTTAACGGTGAACCTACTGAAAAATATATACAAATTAAAAAAAAAAAAAAAAAAAAAACAGACTAACAGAAAAAAACTCAATGAATGTCAAATGCATTTATATACAGTTATAAAATATTGTGGCTTTTGTTTAAAATGTAGCCAACTATTGGACAAATCTTGAAAGTAAGCAAAACAGACAGATAAAGTAAAGAGACGAAAAGTACTATATTGCAGTCACACGATGGAATGTTTCTTAACACTGTATACGAGCATTAAGTATCACAGTTTGAACCTTGAATGTTATAAAAGCTCCCGACTGCATTGTTAACATTGGAGGTTAGATAACAGCTCAGCAAGAACACTGAGCATGTGTGCTTTTGAGCTTTACAGAACACTGAGCATGTGTGCACTTGAGCTTTACTACTGCCAAAAGAAAAAAAAAAAGTCTGTCGAGCAAACTGTGATTGTACTTTTGCCCACAGGGAAGAGGAAACCTTTCAGAATGAACTTTTCCAAAAGTCATGGCAGCGGGCAAAACAACCCACTGATGCAGTACGTCTTGCGCCACTCCATGAGGGAGCATCCTGCCTTGGCCAAACTCAGACTGGTACGCACACGCTGCTAATAGTTTTCAAAATTAAAGTAGGGCTGTGAGAAAAAAAATGGCCTTGAATTTAAACTATTTTTTTTTTCTTTCCCTTTTTCAGAGGACACTGGAGCACAACGGAAACGCCATGATGGTCTCTTGCGAGCAGTCGCAGTTCATGGCCAATTTGGTCCGACTGATCAAATCCAAGAAGGCCTTAGAGATCGGTAATGTGTCGTTAAGCCGTAATGTCCTTCTCAGTTGTGGGTCGTTGGCAAGGCAGCTCCAGTCAGGACATTTTTCTCATCATATCATTTGACTTTTCTGCCACTTGGAAGTCACCTGGCAACTACGCTTCACAAACATGATGAAAAGCTCGAGAGAAATATGAATAGTTCAACTGCTCCATTTGATCAGCGTTTTTTTGTTTTTTTTTGTTTGTTTTTGTGATTTGGCAGGAGTGTACACAGGTTACAACACTCTCAGTGTGGCTCTGGCATTGCCTGATGACGGCGTGGTGGTGGCGTGCGACGTCAGTGAGGAATACGCCAACATTGGCAAGCCGTTTTGGCAAGAGGTACTAAAGAAAAGCGCAACCCTCTTGACGGTGACTCGCGTCAAAATCTCTCCACCGAGCTTTCTGGAATGTTTTTGGGGGGAGGTAGAGACTGCTTTCCTGGGTGTGACTATCTCTTGGAAATTGACCCATTGGTTGCCAAATGGACTGCCTCATACGCGTCAAAGTGGGAACTGAACCTTGATTTCGACATGCAGTCTTTTTCAAATGTATTCATTTATAGTCAAACTTCTGAATGTATTGGAGAATTTACTTTGACTACTTTCTTTATTACAGGCAGGAGTGGAGAAAAAAATTGATCTCCGCATTCAGCCAGCATTGGACACACTGGGTAAAGTTACAATGCACTACACCCTGTGACAGTGGGAGGAAATTGAGACGTACTGTACGCTAGTTAGCATGATCACTGAGGAACTGGCAAATTAGCACTTTTGTGACGCCGTCAAAAAGCAGTCTTGTAATCTGTTCATAGGCAGCTGCAGAACACACAACAAAAAACTTTTTTTTGTCCTTCTTCGCAGAGGAGCTTTTGGCTGCCGGCGAGGCCGAAACTTTTGACTTTGCCTTTATTGACGCCGACAAAGTGAACTACGACTCCTACTTCGAAAAGTCTCTGCAGCTAGTCAGAAAAGGCGGCATCATTGCCATCGACAACGTAAGTTGTTTTCCCCCGCCAACACGGATGTTAAAATTTGGCAATGGGTTTGCCAAAAGGTGGGAAATTTCGAGTAATTTTGCCAGCCCAGTTGCAGTCTTTTTTTTTTCCCATGTGCAGGTCCTGTGGGGCGGCAGGGTGCTCCAACCCGCCGCGGACGACCACGATACACTGGCCATCGACAGGCTCAACAAGAAGCTGCACAGAGACGCTCGGATCAGCCTGAGCATGCTCACTGTGGGCGACGGCCTCACGCTGGCCATCAAATTGTAGGACGGACGGCACCAACACCAGCAGGCTGCTCGTTCCAAGAATTGTGTAGCTATGATGCACTGTTTGGTTTTACTCAAACTAAATTTACCTCAATTTGTATTTCCTCAAATAGTGGCCAGGGGCGGTTGTTTGCTCAAATGCAAAGAATTAGGTGTCTTAACGCCTCCGGTCTTTTTCGTACGCACTTGAGCAACTTCAGCGCACATCCGAAGAAAAATATCTACGGGGGCCACTATTGCAGGAAATACAGCTTTACATGGAAAGTTTGAATAGGATTTTTTTAAAACAAATTTGTAATTACAAAAGCAAGGAAATCATTTATTTGAAATAAATTCCCTGGATTGTTTCCCCATGTTTCTCTAGCTTAAGAAAAAAAAAAATCAGTACACTGAGGCGTGTTAACAAAAAAAGGAAGAGCTTTAATTGATTAAGGTAGATTAGTCGAGTGTGCAAAATAACAGCTCTGATGTACATTCGGCATCCCACTCGCTTGGATTGTCAACATGGAATCGAATGGAGTCAATTGCGGCTCGGGGTTTAAGCCTTGTGATCGAAAGCCACGCTTTCCAATTTGTGTGTTGTGGCCCCTTCCCACGCTAAATTTTTAGGTCATCATATATTGTTTTGTTGACGATCAACCTTTTTTGTGCGTTCTTACTTGATGGTTTGTAGTAGGCTTCTGTGGCCGTTTGTAACTAGAGCTTCATTATGGATTCGTTGTGACTTACGAGTGAGACTAGGAGGTGACGTTTCAGCGGTGCTCAAGAATGGGGAGGGGGATTTTCTCATTCTCTCATATGGTTAAAATATGTTCTCTCTCTCCGAATGGATCCTCATGCCTCTAACTCCAGACCCAGGCCCAGTTTGTGACCGCCGGCATTGATGTTTTTCCCATCCACAAGCGCGGACAAGACCAGTTTCATACCTGCAAGCATTAAATATAATAAGACCAAATTTGAAACGAAACGGGTGCTACTAAAAAGTCAAGATATGAACGAATTTTCTCACCGGGTCGAAGAGTCTGACTGTATCCGATTCCAACCAAGCTGGCGTTGTTCACCTTAGCCTGGAGAAACATCAACAAATCTAAATATTTCATTTTAAGTATTCATGTTGAACATACCAAATATGTTAAAAGCAAATCATGATTTCTCGAGTAATGCAATGAGAGTTCAAGGGGCTGACTGATATGGAGGCACTGGAGTCTATCTGGTATTTGGCGGCGATCCCAAAGCGAGTTCCGTTGCTACCCGCTGCCCACGCCAGATTGACGGCCGTCTCTAGCTGCTCGTTCACTTTCTGATAGATGGAGCCTCCGAATTCACAGCCGTTGTTTCTGGAGAAAAAAAAAATACACCTTTGATTCACATGCAGTTTCTCCCAAAATTGCACTTTTTACATATTGCCGTATTCCTGCATGCGTGTATGTACATGTTGGTGTGTAGCTGGAAGTCTCCCGTCTTGTAGCCGACAGCAAAGTTACTCTGGAGCATCCTGGACTTGGCCGTGTCAAAGCTCATCTGGTAGCCGGCCAGCCAGCCTTCGTAGCCGGCCACGGCTGCGCCGTGGAGGGTGGGGCCGGCGAAGTCCAGGTCCACGTCCACGCCAGCGTGCAGGTACTCCCGCTTGTAAGCTGTCTTGATTTTTCCACTCTTTTTGCTGCGGGAAATAACTAGTTTCATTTTCTAGTCTGAAAATCATATTTTCCAACATTTTTTGCAATTACACTAAAACTTAATACTGAACGACGGCTTGTTACATACCCAGTGTTCGGGGAAAATGTGGTTTCAAAATTCAGTTTCAGGCCTTTGGTGATCTAAAGAAGAAAATGACTTCATTATTGCAAAGTCAACCCAGCAATTTTCCACCTTGAGAAGACCCATCAGTTTCGCACCTGATCCTCGATGCAGACTTCCGTGCCGAGTGTGTTTTCAGTGGTCCACTTCTCGGTGAAGGTCAGCCCGTATTCGGCCCACTTGTACTTGGTCTCCAGCGTTCCCGTCACCTTGCTGGTGTCCACATTGGACGAGCCGCTCGTTTTGAACTCCTGCAATGGACGCGCGTCGATGTCAGTCCATTTTATTCCGATCCAATCATTTGTTCGAGGCCAATGAATGTACAGTATTTTCTCAAATCGTGGCCCCCACTCCGTCTTAAGTTGAGTGAGCAATATGCGAGGCCATTGTGCAATGATGTTGCAAAAGCTAAATAGATATTTGCTTTGCATTTTCTTTTTAAATCTAAAATCTGCTGTCTTCCAACCATTTCCAGTAAAATGTTCGACTCACCACTCCACTTGATGACTTTGTCTTGACGTCAAGCTTAACCAATCCAAAACCTGCAGGCACAATGACAATGGTCTTAAAGTGTGTTTAATTAAATGGGGGGGGGGGGAATAACATTAACATGTAATTACCATATCCCTTGTTGAATATATCCTTTGCCGACTTTCCCAGATCTGCATATGCTGGAGGGACTGCCATTGTGTCGACGCTTTTTTGGTGTCTTGAGGAATAAAGTAAATTCCATAAGTGTAGGAAACAAAATGTTAAAAACAACCACTTGTTGAAAATGACTTGATTTCATTAATCAATAGACCACGCCGCTTGAATTTGTCTCCCTCTAGCGGCACATAAATATATCACTGCCTGATTAAAGTTCACGTGCGTGTAACCTTTACGATCAATACATTTGCATTTAATCGAGAAGACTTTTTAATGTTTACCTGGGTACAGTTATTATTGCAGTTTTGTTATCAATACATTTTATTTTAATCATAATTTTGGTGCAGTGTTTTCCAGTGTTAATGTTCAACTGTGCAGAATGTTACAACTGTTTTTAACAATGTTAAATACAGTTTTTAATGAACAAAGCCGATGGCGTTTTTGATGAGCAAACTGTCTTATTACATCCTGAAGGATGTTGGTCATGTTGGTGGTACTTAGAGAACATTTTTTTATCGGTGATCCTTGGTGTAAAATGTTTCAGAAATGGTTAGATAGTTGTACAGTAGAAGGTAGGCTAGCTTGGGCGTTTTCTAGCTAGCAAATAGGACACGAGGTTTTTTCCCTTCTTTTTAGCCAGGACAACGCAGAATTTGCAAAGCAACCTTTCGATTAATTATGAGGTGTTCAACTCACCGACAAATGTATTGTTGTCAAGATCGTCGCAGGCTTGAATTTGCAGAGTCGGACAAGTGTTCAGACGCCGGCCGGCCGGTTCAGGACGATTGTGGCTTGTGGAGGAGACACGGCTGACCTCGGCGGTGGAAGCCCCCGAAAGCTGTCCGCGGTGTGCCTGACTACAATTAAAGGAAGAAATCTTTAGATAAAAACATTCTCAACTACACACTTGGCCTTCAATTGCACTGTACAACAAATACAACGATGACAGACATTTTAATTCTCGAAGTGTTAAATCAAAATGCGTCTTTTTTATGAATTATGAACAAGCATATATGCAGGTCTCTAAGTTACTATGGTAACGGGAGGGGTTGTCACTTTTTCCCGATTAAAAGAGGGTAAAATAATGATAGACATTTTTTGTAAACTACTCAAACTAACCAACAAAAATCTACATTCGGTTTGATTGCACATTAATTTATTTTGAAAAAAAAAAACAGTTGCCAGGGGTCTTACCAACATGTCTGCAGCATATTTCGTCAACATCCCATTTCAGAGCAGAGCTTGCCATAGTTGTCATTGGCACACTTTACAGGGCGTCTGTACCTTATTTGTCTCTTTACAACCAAAGTTTTTTGGCGCATCTAGACACATAGCCAACCACAAAGTACCTCACTCCTAAGTTTAGGGATCGACAAAGTAAGTTCCAATTCTTGGTGGAGAGAGCATTTCATCACCAAGCCTTACTGCACGGTTCACCCACTTATATATATTTCCTGAAATCGCTCAAGATATACTTGGCTGTTCAGTTTCACATTTGCCATACGTCATCTGTTATCGTCACCCGACTTGTGCACAGTGACGCTGTGGGTACCAGGGCGAATCCGCCTACCGCCCGAAATCGGCTGGGATTGGCTCCAGCGACCCTTTGTGGAACAGGCGGTGTCGAGAATGAATGAACGAATGTCCTCTGTAACAGTTCAAATGTTAAGATGAGATGTTGATACTGTAGCTGAGTGGGTTTTTTTTCCCTCCATCATATCAGACCATGTTGCCAATCAAAGACTCAGTTCACCATTAAAAACAGACACACACAATATTGAGCAATTATAAACTTAAGTCTGTGGTGTGTGCATGTTGCCGCTTTAGTAGAAAAAATAAGAAACACACACTTGAATAAATTAACACATTTTACAGATATCCCTTAAATAACGAAAGAACATTGTTTTAGTAGTAATACTACGTCAGGGGTGGGAAACCTGCAGTACATGGAGCAGGTATGGCTTCGTCAGAACATAAGATCACGTCCAACATGCAATTATTAAAAAAAAAGTTAATTTATAAGTTTGCATTATTTTCTTCGCATCCACTTTTCCCTTATTTTCAAGTCCCTGTAAATAATTTCAGAGATTCTTCTCTAAATACATTTTCCATGTATGGGAGAAAAAGTGAATTGAATCCATTGTGCAATTTAGCTGCTTACAGTTGTGCCTTCAGATACGAGTTTCATTTGTTGCATGGCCACACTCACAACTCAAGTCTTCTTTCCCCTTTAAAAGCTGAAAATGCCATTCATTTCTTCCCCAAAAATATTGACGAAATGAAAACAGTCAGTCAGTTTCTGAATTACTGTTAAGGGACTCAATAAACTGAAGTCAGTGATTCTTTGCAGAGGCTAAAGAATAGATGCATATGAGCTGCTTCAAGCGCTATAAGCACCGCAACATTGATGCTACTTTCGTTAGCCGTCTAGGGTTTTGCCGTTCCGTGTTAGCATTACGTGAATGTTTAGTTTGACGGTGAACATCAATTGTGAGTGGCACTCATCAGCTTGAAGGCACCAATTTTGAGGAATGGCTCTTTGTGTCAAATTGGTGCTTGTTGTGAAGTGGGTTGAGGTGCGTTCGCTGCCACCATACAACTGGAATCAGGTCACTCGTATCTCAGGGCACCACCAGGTTCTCCAGATGGACTCTAGTATGGCCCCTGATAGGAAAATGGTCCCCCAATTCTACACAAGGAAACCTACGGCAAAGGTCATTGGCAAATGGAATCGCACTTTAAGACAAAAGACAATTTTGGCTGATTCTTACTTTCGACCAAACACAAGTCAAAGGCAGGCTGTGTAAAGTCACTCCAATGGACGGATGGCCAGCCGGCGCCTCCCCTCTAGCCGATGACGAATTTGAGGACGGCGGGCCGCGAGAAGGGCCAGCAGTACTCGTTGGGCACGGGCCCGTTGACGTTGCACTCGAAGAAGGAGAACATGGGAAACCAGATGCGCGCGCGGCGGCTCTGCTGGTAGGCGCGCGTGTTGGCCAGCGTGTGGTAGTAGAGGAAGAGGCGCGTGGTGATGTAGAAGGCGATGAAGACGTCGATGGAGTAGTGCTCGTGCGCCGCCAGGATGAAGAAGATGCCGAACAGGTTGAGCACCCACGACAGCGTGTGGATGAAGTGCCAGCTGCGCGGCGTGTCTGCGCAGAACACACCAACTTGCCTTGAGACTCAACGTTAACGCTGCGTTGATGTGGTGTCAAATATATACAGGTGAAAAAAATAAAATGTACTTCAATCATCTAAACGGCTCCATATTGACAAGCGTTTTGATGAAATGAGGGTGCGCGACTCACACTCTGTGACAAAGAAGTTGAGCAAAGTGATGACGACTGTGTGTCCGCTGAACATGTAGTCTCCGCACGTGTGCACGCCCGTCAGCGTCATGCCGAAGCCGCTCCAGATGGCCACGGCCCGGCGCAGCTTGGCCCACGTGTCGCCATACATCTGCGCAGCAGCAACAATAACAACGACGACACTAATGTTACTGCGGCTTACGGACGAGTTGTGACTGCCCCCAGTCTTCTCGTTTGTCGTTGTGACGTGCAAATAATAGCGTAGCTTTCTGGACACAGGCGGCCGTTACCTTCCCGGAACACTGCAGGTGTTGTCCCGGCACGGACAGGGAGGTGACGAACATGGTGATGCAACGTAACATGAACACCGTCCCCATGAGGCTGCACATGCGCCGGAGGAGAATGGACCTGCAGGACAAGGATGGAAGGCGATGGAACTTCCTTGACGTCTTGGAAAAGCGTGAGCAGTTTTACCGTTCAGTCAATCAATAAGACATAAAGACCGGCCCCCCCAGTTTTTACCGCAGCCATTAAACTTTCAATCCTTCTCTTGCAAAATGACAAAAGTGGAGGTTATCCCACTCTAGTCCTGAGTGGCCGATTTCTTCTCCAACTTTGATTTGTTTCAAGGTACCGATGTTTGTGCAGCAGTAGAACCATCAGCCAGATGATGCACAAGATGACGCCACACGCCTCGGCCATGGCGAAGGCCCACGGGATTCGAGGCACACTGCGGACAACACAAAACCAGACCTTATTTTCGTCTTAATATATGAATGGAAGTGCTACACTGCCCCTGGTGGCCAAAGTTTCATTCTTGACATTACCGGTAATTTACCGGACCAACCTGTCGAGGAAGATGTCCGGGAGGGGCGGGTACGTGGCCATGTCGGGGACCCTCTCGTGCACAATGACCATGACGAAGGATGTGAACCCGAACACGAAGACCACGTAGACGGAGCTCAGCACCGTCTTCCAGCATTCGGGGTCCAGCCGCCGCGTCTGCTGCTTGTACTTGCCGTTGGTGTATTTCTGGTACTCCTCGCCGACGGGTGCCGTGTCGGAACCGTCGCAGGCCCGCGCCGCCTCGCCGTTGCACAACCAGTCGCCCGAGCCGGTGGGTGAGTGGCCGTCGAAGGGCAGGCCCAGCTCCTCCAGCGTGTCCAGGTTCTGCTTCTGAAGCTTGCGGATGGATGCCATGAGGCGCTTGATGTCACCCAGCACTTTGAGCTCCAGCGGCGGGGAGCGCAGGTCGTACTCGCTGAGGGCCAGCAGGCTGCTGCCATCCAGCCGGTGCTTGTGGCACAGCAGGTCCACATAATCGCAGAAGCCCTCATCCTTCAGCCACTTGGCCACGTGCTTGGGCGTCCAGCGGCGGACACTTGGCGGGATCATTTCACAAGCATCTAATGCTGGAAAACAACAACAACAACAAAATATGACTGGGCTGTTAATCGGTATTGGGGCCCAAGCAATTCACTGGCTGAAATTGGGGACTTGGGTACAATTTGAGGTCTTAGTATTCTATTATTGTTGACATGTGAGTGCTGACGTGGTGGAAACAAATTTTCATTTCATACGAAAGAAAATGACAAGTATTTCTACTACATTCCTCTATCAAAACACTAAAAGGTGTAATTATTATTGGTGTTGGACTACCCGATGTGAGTTAACGTTGGGTTGTCACGTCGCTGTCAAAGGTTAGCATTTAAATGACACCAATGAAGGCGAACGACGAGGTGTGAACCGCAGTCTGAATGACACGAACCAAAAGCAACGTTTGCCAAGCGAGTCCAACGCCGCAGGCTAAAAGCGAAAGAAGGAAACGAATAGGAGGAGGAACAACTAACGGCAGCTTTGCATGTGCAAAAGACGGCTAACGAGACGGCTGCTAGCGGTGTTAGCTCGGCTTTCGGGGCTCACTCACCCGGGCTGAGCTCAAGCGAAGGATGCTGGCCGGCAGCACGTTTGACTTCCGAAGGTCGGCCAAGTGGAAAGGGCGCCGCGCGAGCAATTCATAATATCAGCCTTGTTGTTTTTACTAACAATAACATCGCGGCGGCGCTTGTGCGCAATCATGTCGCGCTGCGAGTTGGCATCCTGCTCACCCGTGACGTCACACGGGTGGTTCGAGCCACAATACAAGCGCTACCAAAAAGCTAGAATCGGTACATGGTTCGTATTACATAACCGTTTTGCATATCCGTTTATTTATTTATTTTTTGGGGCGTGTAAATTGCACCATTTACTTTCAGCAATAATACAAATACTGTAGTAGAGATGTGAATTACTGATGCATCAAATTAAAATCGTAATAATTTGTTGAACAACCAACATATGACACAAGAATAATCATTCAAACACATCAATAGTTTGTGATTTATTCAATTAAGGTCAAAAGCCCAGAACAGGCAACTATGAGCTGATCCGCCAGAGGGCGCTGTGGTGCTGTTCCAAGATGACGTCAACGAGGTGCTCCAGTCGGTTTAGTGACCTTGGAAATTAAACCTAGCAACAATAAATGACCACTTCCTTGTCTGCAGCAGTCAAAAAGGAAGCATCATCATCATTAACATATTGTGGAACATAATGATTTTGATTATTGTTATGATTGCTACAAACATTTGCGGCGACTTATCGAGGCTGGAAGCAGCTGCTGGGACCAATCCAAAGTAATATTTCCTCAAATCGACCCCTCGCTCAAACAGATGCCTGCAAACACACCAAAGTGGAGATTATCTGAAGCACACTGGTTGCCATTTTGTCTTTCATCAAAAGTGACCTCAGGGCAGCACTGTTACTTTAAAACTCAGGATATATGCTTGAAGTTTTCTTCACAAATTAGATGCTTAAAAAAATAGGACAAAGATATATCCCCCATCTTCGTGGCCTAACTTTTGTGTGTGTGTGTGTGTGTGTGTGTGTGTGTGTGTGTGTGTGTTTGCCCCCGGCCAGTCTAACATTTAGGAAGATGATGCCAGAATTATTTTGGGCGAAGTTAAAATAGCCTAAAATGTTGCTGGGTAGATCGCTGTTGAGGACGGCGACGGCCTCCAAACGTCGTCTGGCTCGCTCGCAAGGAAGCAAGTAAGTGGCTCATCGCTCAAATACGGACTTCAACTACCTCGTAATGCATTCGATTGTGGGACAGGCTTGAGAGAAAAGGAGGTAGACACTTTTGGGGTTCGCCAATTTCAGAAAAGCAGAGGGGGAAGCAGGGAGGGGAGGCTGATAGTGAAGAAAAATTGAAGGAGTGCAGGAAGGAGGGAATGAGGAAGAGAAAAAAGAAGGGAGGGTTGGAGGATGAGTGGAAGGGAGAATCGGAGGAAGGGCTGAGGAGGGAAGAAAAGAAGGAAATGTGATGAAGGAAGATTTGGGAGGGAGGCAATAAAGATGGAATAATGAAAGGCATTTTCTCCTATCAACTCCGAAATTCCAGTTCACCTTTATTTCATGTCATACTCGATTCCCATGTTGAGCACTGACGAATTTGGTTCATGACTAGCTAAAAAAAGAAAATGTTTGAGGAAATTTCCTCCTTGTGGCGCAGCCATTTTTTGGTCAACGCGTATGTGTATATTTGTTGGATTGTGTCCAAAAAGCCAAAGTGGCGCAATCAGACAGATCCGGGCACTTGAGGAGCTTAGCCAGCCTGCGGGATGCGCCCGCCAGGTACGTGAGCCCCCCAGCGTCCGAACTCCAGAGGCTGATGTGGACCAAGACAGGCAGCGAGCACAACCACATGGACGAGGTCCAGCCCAGAATCTTCTTGGGCGACATGTAAGTCGGACATGTTGGTTGGGGGCAACTACTTCAGACCTATTTTAGCCAATTGCACGGGTCCTTTAATTGTGAATTAAATCCCGGGTGCTTGTCAGATTTCGTGTACGGTTCAGGTGTATTCGACAGATGCGCCATGCCAGATTGTGGTTTACTCATTCCGTTTTTGCTCTCTCCTCAGGTACGCCGCCAAAGACAAGCGTAGCCTGCGTGCTCACGGAATCACCCACGTGCTGAACGCCGCCCACGGAAAGTTCAATGTCAATACGGGCGTCGGCTTCTACCGAGACATCAAGTTGACGTATCACGGCGTGGAAGCCTTCGACATGGTGACCTTTAACCTCAGCGCTTTCTTTTACTCGGCGGCCGACTTCATCTGGAGCGCCTTGAGTTCGGCCACGGGTGAGCCGCCCGCGAGGGCTTTTGCACCAAGAAGGCCGCGGTTGCATCCGTCGCAATCAAGCAGATTTTGCTCCGGTGTGTGTGTGTGTGTGTGTGCAGGGCGAGTTCTGGTGCACTGCGCCATGGGGTTGAGCCGCTCGTCCACGTTGGTGCTGGCCTACCTGATGATCCATGAGCGGCTGACCCTGGCCGAGGCCATCGCAGCGGTCAGCGCCAAGCGCAACATCTCACCCAACCTCGGTTTCCTCGAGCAGCTACGGGCGCTCGACGCCAAGCTGCAGTCAGCCAGACACAACGCCAACGGGAAAACTTGAAGCCATGTCCGTGGACTTGCGGGTGGGCTGGAGGATGAGAAAATATTAAAAAAAAAAGTTACAAAAATAAATAAACATTTGAGAGAAAAATAGAAATTTCTTAAATGACTTTTTGATGTATTTTTTTTCCTCAAAAAAATAACTAATGCAAAATATGTACTTTTGTAGAATTAAGATTTTTTTCAGAAAAAAAATCCTCATATATATATATATATATATATATATACCCCAAAAAAGTAATAATTAAACTTTTTTTTTACCCTAATACCCTTAGAATAGGATTACTTTTCTCCTAAAAATACCAGGGGGGAAAAAAAATCGGTTATTTGAAATGACCACTTTAGTTGAAAACCTACAAAATTTTATTTGTGCTCAGGTCCGAAATATCCCAAAGACAAACGAGTGTCCTCGCGCATCTCCAGCAAGACGGTGTGCCGATCAAAAAAACCCCGCAGCGTGTTTGAACTCCAAAAGGATGCAAGATGACGAAAATAATCTTCAGAGGGCACGCTCAAAAGTTCTAAAAGAGCTAAAAGTCAATTGCTGTGAAAGTTTAAAAGCAAGAGTGTAACATTGGAGATTTGCGCCGTGTGTGTGTGTGTGTGTGTACGCTCAGAGCCGATGGAAGTGTTCCAGCGTGGCAGCGAAGGTCAGCCACATCATCGCAGCTCCTAAAAATATCCTCTGCATCGGACGGCCGTTGCACAACCGTCTCATTGGCCGTGACTTTCAGTCCACCCAGGACGACCGGAGGCGCCAAAACGACACATGCGCTTTAAGCTTTGGCGTGATGACATAAGCGGAAGAAAGTATGTGCGAAGGGCCCCGCTACCGTGACGACGACGATGACGTCACACCCAGCTGCTATGAGCTGGACAAGATCCTCAACCGGGGCTGCGCGGCCTACGCCGCGTACAACCAGGTGTGGCCTCGGGTCTACATTGGTGATGAGTAAGTAGGAAAATATCGAAAGCACTCCATCGATACATTGCGTGCTCCTCAGATTTATGACACAGAATTGTACCCGTGCGCAAACAGCTGTAAAATCTTCATGCTTTTTTCTTTTCCCTCCTCTTCAATCTCATAATCAGGTCCGGAAATTATGTAAATTTTAAAAGAAAACCTGCAACAATCACAAAAAAATGAAACGGCTCATCACAAAGGAAGCGTAACAATGTATTTTGACTGCGACAGGCAGACGGCTAAAGATAAGCTGAAGCTGAAGAAGCTGGGCATCACGCACGTCCTGAACGCCGCCGAGGGCACGTGGAACAACGTGGACACGGGTGCCGGTTACTACAGTGACATGGATGTGGTCTATTACGGCATAGTGGCGTCGGACACGCCCACGTTTGACCTCAGCCAGTACTTTTTCACCGCCGCCCGCTTCATACAAACGGTGCTAGCCGACCCTCACAGTAAGACGCTGAAGTAGAAAAACGGTCAACACTCACTTTCAGATTTCGTTAAGACTAGTTGGCCGGAGGTGTAACCAACAAGAAAACCAGAGAGCTGTTTGTCACGGGCGATGTGTTTGCATACCGGCAGACATAGTGCTGGTGCACTGCGTGATGGGCAGGAGTCGCTCGGCCACGCTGTTCCTGGCCTACCTGATGATCGGCGAAGGCATGACGCTGGCCGACGCCGCCGAGCACGTCAAGACGGGGCGCCGGATCCTGCCCAACTGGGGCTTCCTCAAGCAGCTGAGGCAGCTGGACGCACGACTCGCCCACGAGCGGCGGGACGGCGCCCACCGGGCGAGCGGTGCAGCTGAGTTGAGATGACACCTGCAATAAAATTAGAGGGATTAATACCTTTGTGATTTTTCATTTGGTTTTCCTCCGATTTGTGACTTGGACCTTTTTAATCTGCAGTTGATGTTCTGCCTCATAGCTTGGAACTTGGCCAGTATCATTTTGACTGCCTGAAAGAAAAGAAACGGTGATTAGAGAAACAAAAAAAAAAGCCAAAAAGGGGTCTAGTGAAGATGACTGCTCCCTATATGTCAAACTTGGAACTACACCTCGCTTTCACGCAGTGGTCTTTTCTCGAGTCCAAGACAATGACCGTAATGAAGTTTTTTTCCCCCCCCAGAGACTCAAGAACAGCAACACAAGCTGTGGAGGAAAGCAAAAGTCCATTTCCAGCAAACATTTGACAAACAGAACAGAATGGAGAACAAAAGACATAGATGGGAGCAGACATTCCACTTCCAGAAAACATTTGACAAAGAGAATGAAAGCTTTAAAAGGCATTGCGCAAAATATCAATGAAATTGATATTTTCTTTATTGTTACATTATTTACATTAATAGATAGAATGAGCGACCGATCGCTCGCTAGGGAGATAGATCATAATTTGGAGTGTACAAAGAGGGAGATATGCTCGCATATTTGGACAGAAATCCGTCTTGCTTTATTAAACAGAAAGCTGCCTCAAGGAGATCTGTTACAAAAAGACTTCAGAATTATACACACATAGAGCAATAAAACCTCTCAAAGCGCAACAGAAAACAGGACTAAGTTTTACAGTTGTTTTTTTTTTTTTTTTTAACATTATTAGCGTTAACAAAATATAATTTTTATTTTTCACCTAATAAAAGGCCCGGTAGCTTGAAAATGGCTTGCTATTTGTTAAGCACAACACTTGTACAGTACTACTCAATGCACTGTCACTAAAGGAGAGACCCAAGCATGCTAAGGTTTGCCACTTGACCCCAAAAAAAAAAAAAAAAAAAATAGTACAATAATTTAAATATACAAAGGCGTGAATATGGTACAAACGAAATGGTTTGCGCGTGAGCACTGTTGGACAGTTAACACACCGAACAGGTTCCACTCGTGAGCAGGCACATGAAAACAAAAATGGCTTCCGTGGGAGGCTGCTATGTGGCGACGGTAAGCCGACCTCGCAGCCGCTGAACCTGCCGCTAATTAAATAGAATTTCATTTTCAACATCACCATGTTGTAAGGCTTCCCCATCTTGGACGAACAAAATCGCTCTTTTTTTTTGTTTGTTTTCTTTTTTTGAATGAAAATATTTGCATTCTTTCCAAGTGCTGCTGCTGGTTTTTGTCTTTAAAGAAGAAGAAAAACAAATAAAAATCTATATATTTATATACACAACTCCCAAAAATGAGGGATGTCTGCTTTTGGGTGAAATTTCAGGAAGAAGCTAAACTGCGCAACCGGAGGCAGTCATTTTTCTTGACCACTGCCAGCCTGGTCTGATTTCAGATTCACCATCTTTGATGTGTTTATGAAAATAACAATAAAAAAAAAGGTCATTCGGGAATGGCAAAAGCTCAATAGCAACGGTCTGAGCTCCATCCAGTTTGGCTCCTGGTGAATTTATCATCTGCAAACTTTCACCAGTCAGACAAGTGCATTCCAAATTTAGAGATGGTCAAGTTAAGCGTATTTGATGTTCAACCTGAGATTTCACCCAAAAGGCCAACATCTCTATTTTTTTTTTTTTTTTCTGAGTAGTGTCGATCACACAAAGCAGAAGAGCAAAGGCCATATCAGTGCATCTAAAGCGAAAAGACGCAGCGGCGGCGGGCTACCGCCTGATGAAAGACCCTTTCAGCGATTGCTTGGACATGCCCGGGTTCATGTAGCCGTGGTGACCGGCCGGAGTGTACACCATGTTGCCGTGCGGCGGCGCCTGCATGGGCTGCTGGGCGTATGGCTGCGTTCCCATCATGCCCATCTGCATAGAGTACTGGGGCGACTGGTTCATGTAGGCGGCGTGGTTGCCGTGGTAGCCGCTGTTCATCATGGGCTGGCTCATGCCGTAGCCGTTCATGGCGTTGAGCGAGGGCATGTTCATGGAGTTGTACGCCGGCGCCGGCATGATGTTGACGCTCATGTTGACGCGCGGCATGCCCGCCAGCGTCCGGGCCGGCGCCTGCATGGCCACGCCCTGGGTCTGCCGCGCGTACATCTGCTGCTGGTGCTGCTGCTGTTGCTGGTGGTGGTGGTGATGGTGGTGGTGGTGTTGGTGGTGCGTGAGCGGTGCCGACTTGGAGCGCGCCGAGGCGTGACTCTTGGTCACTGTCTGGGACTGGATGCGTTGGGCCGGAGGCATCCCCATGTTGCGCTGAAGCATCATAGCCGGCGGCGGCGTCATGGTCGCCTGCACCTGGGGGTTGGGGACGCGGTGCGGGGTCTGCGACAGGGACACCAAGCCGGAGTGCTGCGAGGACAGCGAGGGGGTGTTGGCATAGGACGTGATGGGGTGCGACGGCGAGTGGGTGAAGGGCAGCGAGCGGGGATGCTCGATGAAGGTGTTGGTGAACTGCTGCAGCTTGGCCAGGCTGAGGCCCGACGACTGCGGGTAGTGGCCGCCGGCGTACTCGCCCTGGTGGTTGATCCTCTCGTAGAGGGCGAAATTGGGGTTGCCTGACTCGGCGATGTCGGGCAGCTGCACGCCTGCGAAGTTGGCGGGAAGGGCGCACTGGGCACCAGTGGCGGCGGCGGCGTCCTGCAGGGCGTGCTGATTGTGGAGGTTGTGCATGGCTGGCTGATTGTGCTGGCTGAGCTGATTGTGCTGCAGGTGGTGATTGTGGTGGTGACTATGCTGGTTGTGGGGATTGTGTTGATTGTGCTGATTGTGGGGGCCGTGCCTGCCGTGCGGCTGGCCGCGCTGACTGGCGCTGGGCGGCCGCTCGGCCGTCACCACGCAGCCCTGCGGCGACTTGACGTTGCATTGCTGCGGCGAGCTCAGGCTGTTCTGCTGGATCATGCCGCAGCCTCCCGGGTTGACGGCGGCCATTTGCTGGCTGACGGCGCAGCTGCTCTGGGCCAGCCCGCCGGGAGGTATGCCGCTGTAGGGGCAGCTGCCCTGGGGGGCGGCGGCCCCGCAGGCGCTGCCCCCCAAGGTGGAGTCGTAGCTACTGGGGTTCTCGTAGTTCTCGGTGGTGCTCTCGATGCTGCCCAGGTCACTGAAGCCGCTGTCCACCACCTGCTGCGAGTGGTCCGACACCGACGGCACATCCATCATGGGGCTGGTCTCCATGTTGTGGATGGACGGCACCGAGATGGCACTGTGGTCGGGGCTGATCTGCGTGTAGCCCCCCGCCTCCAGGATGGATACGGCCGGGCTGTTGACGGAGCGTACCGACTGGCTGGGATGCGACTGCGCCGACGAAAGCGGGCTGCTGTGGTCTGACTGGGGGCAGTCCTCCAGCGGAGTCACGGGGGCGTAGGTGTGCACGTTCCTGCAGGCCTCTTGGCTCTCCACGCAGTCCTGGTACACCGCGTCCCGCTCGCTCTCTCGTGCCAGGGACCGGACGGCCCGCGCCGTCTCCGAGTCGATTTCCGTGCAGATCAGGGGGCCGTCCCTGAGCGTGGGACTGAGGGGCGGGCTCTTGGTGGTTGGAGGCGGGACGTGACCTTGTCGAGGACTGGGCGCGCTCTCCTCTTCCGACTCAGAATCGCCAGCTGCTACTTTGCCTGGAGGGAGCGGCAAAACTTCTTTTGTTTTCCCCTCTGCATCATGGATGCATTCTGTGACAGCCGTGGCATTTTCTTTTTGCTGACTTGACACAACCTCACAGTCTTCTTCCTGGGCTAAGAAACTTTCACATATTACTTTAGAAGCTTGGGGGGCCTCGAGATGGTTGCTGTCACGCTCCGTTGCCTTCTCGTGGCCTTCGTTTTCATTCGCATCTTCTGTTACTGTCATCTGCTCCTCCTCATCCTCGTTCTGATTATGAGGCGATGCAGCGACTTCAGTTCTGCGATCCACATCTTTGGTCGGTGAGTCCAGCTCAGGCTCACTTTCTTGCAGCTCATCATCTCGACGTTTCGGCGAATCATCACCGTCCTCGTTCCCGGGTGACACGGCAACGGGGGAGGCGGCGGGCGATCTGACGGGGGACCTTGACTTGGGCGAGGGACGGTCAGCCGGGCTCGGGGGCTCCGACCGAAAGCGTCTGGCCACCCTGCCACCATGGAGCTCTCGGTCTGCTTCACCCTGCACCTCCTCGAACTGGATACGGTGCTGCTCCGCCTCCATGGGCGTTTCGGGCGGCGTGTAAAGGTTCAGCTTGAAGCCCATTTTGCGCTCGTTCTTCAGGCGCCACTTTGGTGGGCCTCGTTTGACTCCTTTGGGCCAGCCTTTCTTTCGCTTCACTGGACGAGGTCTGCCAGGTCCCTTGGAGGCGACGTCAGCATCTGCAGACAAAATGCAGGCTTGAGGCGCAATCTAACAGCGAAATACACTTTCCACCTAACATTTGTGCCTTCGCTTCCAAGTTTAATACATTCCAGGAGAAGGTTATTGTCATAAACGAAAACTAGCAAAATAACTAAAAACGAAACTAAAGATGCATCATCACTCCCACCTTCATTCCAGTGCTGAAGCTCATCTCTCTGCATCTTTTCTTTCAGCCTCGGTCGACCTCGCCGCCGTTTCATGGGTGCGATCTGGGTCTTGTTCTCCTCTTCGTTGTCCTCTCCCTCTTCCTCCTCTTCTTCCATGGCGCTCACGCTGCGGGTGCGCTCCAACCGCGGCATGGGACCCTCGTCCTCAGAGTTATCGAAGGGCTCGTTTAGGACCTCGGTGGTCTCGGAAATGGTCTCCGTTGTGACGCTGCTGTTAATTCTCTTTCTCTTGCGGCCCCTCTTGCTCCTCTGGAACACAAATAACACCGGGCCGAATGAAACCACGAGCACAGTAAGGTGTGTGTGTGTGTGTGTGGGGGGGGGGGGGGGGGGGGGGGCATAATACCACAAATTGAGTTTGCAAGAAGAACGTGAAATCAAAAAATGGAACGATCGCACTGTATAAAATGTAGCCATACTGTGTTTTTTTTTTCCTTTTTTTTGTTTTTGCCTTCTTCATCTCCAGAGCTGAAGGAAACAGGCTGTAATATGAGATCGCACTGTATAAAATGTAGCCATACTGTGTTTTCTTTTTTGTTTTTGCCTTCTTCGTCTCCCGAGCTGAAGGAAACTGGCTGTCATATGTTCTCCATCACAAGGGGGCAGTGGGATACAAACAGATGTGAATTGGACAGCAGTTCAAGCTACATTTTCTGGACAAATATAGGGTTGAATGCCAGCACACAAGGGTAGCAGTAAGTGCAAAGAAACAAACTTGATGATGACCATGTTGACCAATAAGTGGCCACACTACTGCAAATATAGGGTTGAATGCCAGCACACAAGGGTAGCTAGCAGTAAGTGCAAAGAGAACTTGATGATGACCATGTTGATCAATAAGTGGCCACACTACTATGAATAAGGCAGTGGTTAATGACTATATATTCGAGCCCTCCATTATCCGAGCCACTTATCCC